GGACGCGTGGTAATTTGGACGCGTGGTAGTTTGGACGCGTGGTAATTTGGACGCATGGTAGTTTGGACGCGTGGTATTGGGACGCGTGGTAGTTTGGACGCGTGGTAATTTGGACGTGTGGTAGTTTGGACGCGTGGTAATTGAACGCATGGTAGTTGGTACGCGTGGTATTTGGGACGCGTGGTATTTGGATCGCGTGGTATTTGGGGCGCGTGGTAGTTAGGACGCGTGGTAGTAGGAACGCGTGGTAGTTGGACGCGTGGTATTTGAAACGCGTGGTATTTGGGACGCGTGGTAGTTGGAACGCATAATATTGAAACTTGTGGTTAAATGTACTTACAGCAACGACGAAGAGATACAACGAATGTCCCACGTCGACGATACAGATCGTGCCGACGACGATAATCCATGGTATCAGGAAGACACGTTGATCCTGAAAGACATCAGTCATGTATGTACAGAGACGAACGAGGTAGAAAAGTCTGGTTCCAAGGGTCGTGCGAAAGATCTTTTCCTAACTTTAACATCTTTCGTTTCCTGTTCTGAAACATTTGGCTCGTTGTAACTAGCAAGACGACCATTTTTCTGGACGAAGTGTACCGAAAGGGTTAAACAGTTCCGGTAACTTCCTCGAGAGAAAGAGTCGAAAGTTTATCGGAACGGTGGAAAGACAATTGTGTTAAGTTTTCTTAGAATTGCGAATTCCTCCGTTAAATTGAAAAAGTAATACGATTATGGATTCAATTTCTTACTTTCAGAAAATGCTGCTAATAATTGCGTGCTTTTAAGAACTTTTGCAATTTCAGCGAGTAAATTTTAACACCAGATTGCTCGAGTTTAAGATGTAGGCAGAGTATTGTAGTTTCAGCGATTCAAAGTTACGAAGTTTCTTTGGGTTTTTATAATTCTAAAAACTTAAGTTAATTTTTATATTTTTAACTTTTTATTGGTTCAAGTTTCTCAGAGTTCAAAATCTTTAATTTTCAAGTCTCTTGATTCTGAAATTTCAGAATTCCTGAATTTTTGAGTTCTCAAATTTTAGAATGTTCACAACTTACTTGGTGGCGCTCGACAAAATGGCGCCCACACAACTAGCAAACCCAACTACTAGCAACCTAACCTAACTTAACATAACCCAGTCATTAAATTTAATGAACGATTCTAATTATTAATATAAATAATTTAATCTAACTACCTAAACTAAGCTAACTACCTAACTATTATAAACCCAACTACTATCAACCTAACCTAACATAACCTACTCTTATTTAACCTAACCTAACTCCCCCCAGTCATTAAATTTAACTAACGATTCTAATTATTAATATAAATGATCTAATAAACAAGAAACAGCATCATACGAATAATTTTATCGAGATTAGCTTAAAAATGCAAAAGTTACACGGTGCTTACGTAAGCCCAGGAAGAAGCTATTCACAATGAGTGCATTCTCGCAGCGTGGCTGCGTTAAAATGCGATTCGAATGGAGAGAAGTTCTCGTTGGAAAGTTTCGTTACGTGTGCAAGTATACTTGAAGTTACGAACGTCTTGTGTAAAGACTCTAATTCTTCCGACAGAATTTGTTCACTGAAATTTAACTTCATTCGAAGTGCTCTTTCTTTTCTTAATCATTCGAGTTAGTAATATATAAAAGAGATACTCTAAGATTTATTTGCGAGCCTAACTGAAATATCATTTTAATTGCAGGCAACTGTGACATGTAACAAAACATATGTGTTAAAATTTATTTTATTTCATATATGTTTAAATAATGTGTTTAAATTTTACTTGAAGATCGATGAGGTATCTGAAGTCTATTTAAAGACATCATTGCAAAAATCTGAATACTGCTTTTAAATTTAATGTTATTGTTTTACACAGGGTATTTGTTTTAACTAATATAAAATTACTTATATTTTTAATACATATGTGTTTTCGACGAATATTAAATCAGTTACAATTAATAATTATTTTGAATTTGCAGATCAAAATTTTGTTCGAGTGAACGATCATTTTTCTAATTGATACCAGATCGACAATTAACTAAAAACTTTATAAAAAGATCTCTGATGTTCCTTTTTGTGCAACTGTTTATCTCGTTTATTGGTTTAGCGAGCAGCGGTCACGGTGATTCCATCTTCATTATTTTGTTCCGCGTTCAAATGAACAAGAAGATAAACAAAATCTTGATAGAAACAATAAACAACAGCAATCAGGAAAAAATTGAATCGCGAAAACGCCGAGGATGATCCTTTGTGTTGAAACTGATGAAGATCGGATGACAAATAGTCCAGTGAAAGCGTGGAATAATCTTGGAGAAACGTTGCCATGGTTATTCATGATGGGTTACTATCGCGGGATAAACGTTTTGACGTTGAATGATTAAATGGACGAACTGGTCGATAAGGAATTCTGCGTTGGACCGATCAATTTAATTCTGCAATCGAGGGATTCAATTTATATCTACTATTCTTTTGCGGTAACGTGAAAAATTAACGTTTCTCCAAATTTCCGAATTCCTAAATTTTCAAGTTTCCAAATTTCCGAATTCTAACACCTTTGAATTTCCAAATTTTTGAATTCCTACGCCCCCAAATTTCCAAATTACCGAATTTCTACGCCCACAAATTTTCAAATTTCCGAATTCCAGTGCTCCCAAATTTTCAAATTTCCGAATTCCAGCGCCCCCAAATTTCTAATCTTCCGAATTTCCCACACCCCCCAATTTTCCAATCTTCCGAATTCCCATACCCCCAAATTTTCAATCTTCCGAATTCCAGCGCCTCCAAATTTCCAATCTTCCGAATTTCAGCGCCCCCAAATTTTTAAATTTCCGAATTCCAGCGCTCTCAAATTTGCAAACTTCCGAATTCCAGCGCTCCCAAATTTCCAAACTTCCGAATTCCAGCTCCCCCAAATTTCTAATCTTCCGAATTCCAGCACCCCCAAATTCCCAAATTTCCGAATTCCTACACCCCCAAATTTGCAATCTTCCGAATTCCTATATCCCCAAATTTGCAATCTTCCGAATTCCTACACCCCCAAATCTCCAATTTTCCGAATTCCTAAATCCCCAAATTTCCAAATCCCCGAATCCCTAAATCCCCAAAGTTCCCGCTAATTACCATCCCCGACCACCCTTAAATCAACCTATCCCTCAACAGCCTTTTCACCAAAAATTCAAAAAGCATCCCATCGAATCACGTAATCTCAAATCTGCGACACTGTAAGTTTAGGGTAGTTCTTCAAATGTTTTGTCAAAGACTCAGCGACAGTCGTAGCATAGTAGTCGGTAAGGTAACTCTCGAGATTAACTCGGCGAGCTTAATTACGTTAACGTATCACGGATCCCACGGAATCCACTTTGAACACTTAGCTCTCTCTGGGACTAACGGGAACATTTCATCGTCGTTCTGTAAATCCCACGCCTGTGTACCCGTCGCGGATTGATTTCGAACTTTGCCGCCTAACGACGAGCTGAAGAAAGAAAAAAAAAGTACTAGGCAACGAGTTTGAGAGCAACGCGTAAGGTAACGTGCTTTTTATTGACTTCTCTCGTGATGGTTTCACGGAGACTCTTCAGGCTTCCACCACCTCGGGAGCTCATAAAAGAAACTGAAGGTTCTTGTTTCTTGATTAAGAGAAGTTGATATTTTACTTTCAGCAGCGAATTAGACTTTATTCTTGTTGGCTTCTGCTGTAATAATTTATACGGGCTATTTCATAACTCGTTAATGGAACGATGGTAAAATATTTGTTTTAGTCGATTTAACTTTGGGGAGGGTTTTTTTGAGATAAAGTAATAATTTTACTGTTTGTTAAGGTTTGTTAATTTTGTTCAAAGTTCATATGTTGTTTGTAGTTATACCTTACTTGTGTTGTACTTATATATTTAATATAAAGTCGAATTTTAGAAGGTGTAAGATTGGGACTGATGCAGATGTACGTAAACAAGATGGCGGCGGAGAACGCGACGCCATCACTTTAATACACGTGACATTTAATAGATGAATTTAGAAATTAAACATCCGAATATCCTTCAAGATTAAATTATGTATTACCATTTTCACATATATTTCAAATTAAACAAATTTTGAAACATATTTAAGGAAAATATGTTTTAAAGTATTGTCGCATTTGTGGTTGATTTTTCCACTAGCACTTCACGAATTGACTACAAGGAAACAGCAACGAGTTTCGACGCGAAGGGTATTTCTAGAAATGATATTTTTCTCGATTTGACAAGACCCTATGATTTCACGTTATCAGAAAACTCCGAGTTCCCTGTAGAATGTTGATAAAAATTGCATCGTGCCCTGGAGGTTGGATTTGTCCATCATTTAGGACGAACAAGAGGAACGAGGGTGATAAGACATCGATTGCGGAGGACACGAGAATGATTGCTTGAATTACGTGTTCTTTTAAGACATTTTTACATCTCTCAAATTTTAAAGAAGTTCAAAAATTTAATGGATTTAATGCATCAAAACTTCAGCCTCGAAAAGAGGGTAAATATAATACTGGTGGTTGGGACGCGTGGTAGTTTGGACGCGTGGTAGTTTGGACGCGTGGTAGTTTGGACGCGTGGTATTGGGATGCGTGGTAGTTGGTTGGGACGCGTGGTAGTTGGGACGCGTGGTAGTTGGGACGCGTGGTAGTTGGGACGCGTGGTAGTTGGGACGCGTGGTAGTTGGGACGCGTGGTAGTTGGGACGCGTGGTAGTTGGGACGCGTGGTAGTTGGGACGCGTGGTAGTTGGGACGCGTGGTAGTTGGGACGCGTGGTAGTTGGGACGCGTGGTAGTTGGGACGCGTGGTAGTTGGGACGCGTGGTAGTTGGGACGCGTGGTAGTTGGGACGCGTGGTAGTTGGGACGCGTGGTAGTTGGGACGCGTGGTAGTTGGGACGCGTGGTAGTTGGGACGCGTGGTAGTTGGGACGCGTGGTAGTTGGGACGCGTGGTAGTTGGGACGCGTGGTAGTTGGGACGCGTGGTAGTTGGGACGCGTGGTAGTTGGGACGCGTGGTAGTTGGGACGCGTGGTAGTTGGGACGCGTGGTAGTTGGAACGCGTCCATATAATACTTTAATTGAATCTTGTCTAATGTCATAATAAAAATGAAGTTTTAGATTCTTTAGTTTTATTTGTATCAACTCACAATTTTAAAAAACTTTTACAATTTTACAATACAAGTACAAGTTTTACAACAAAAGTTATACAATTTTAAATAATTTTGAAGACTCTGTTAAGCTTCATATCTCTGGAGCTTAGAATATTTGCCTCATAGTTGACTCCTATTAATTTTCATTTTAACATCAAGCTGTATAAAAAAAAATATGTTATAAAAATGTACGTATAAAAAAAAGAATTGAAGCTGTATACAAAATATGTTATAAAAATGTACATATAAAAAAAAGAATTGAAGCAGTATAAAAAATATGTTATAAAAATATACATATAAAAAAAAAAGAATTATTTATGGTATAAATGGTATTTAATTACAGAAAAGGACAAGAAATATCTCTGAATTAAATTTCGCCCGTCCACGTTAATCGGACAAACAATTATCATAATAAAGCGTAAAAGCAAATTGTTCGTTTCAGTAATTTCGAGTTAATTATTCGTAATTGTTTGCACATGTTCCCTTTCGAACCCTCCTGGTTCTTTCTCTGCCCCTTTTTATAATCAATTTTAAGTATCTCAATTTCCAGCCACGTGCTGCACCCGAGACTAAATCTGATACGGGAGAACGCGGAGAAACCACCCCTCGGTTCACCCTTCGTCGCTTTTCTATTTCTGTTATCCCTTTTCCGGTGCTAGAAACGGTGATCGTGGGATCACTGGATTGTGTTCTCGTGTCGGAATCAATCTTATTCTAACGTGTTTCACATAAGACACGAATCATGCGATGGGGAAATGGAAGGTTGTTTATAACGAACGTCGTTGGATGATGGCTTGTTATTAATCATGAGAAATACATATGGTACGCGTTATACTTATGGGATTTTGGAAAGATGGTGTTGTAAAGCGGAGCTTGTAGGGTTTTGGAATTTTGGGACTTTGGAAATTTGGAAATTTGGGGCTTTGGAACTTTGGGACTTTGGAAATTTGGGGTTTTGGAAGATTAGAAATTTGGGAGCTTGGAATCCTAGAAATTTAGGACTTTGGAAATTTGGGATTTAGAAAATTTGGGATTTGGGAAATTTGGGACTTGGGAAAATTGGGGTTTAGAAAATTTGGGACTTGGGTAATTTGGAACTTGGGAAATTTGGGACTTGGGAAATTTGGGACTTGGGAAATTTGGGACTTGAGAAATTTGGGACTTGAGAAATTTGGGACTTGGGAAATTTGGGACTTAGGAAAATTGGGGCTAAGGAAATTTGGGACTTGAGAAATTTGGGACTTGGGAAATTTGGAACTTGGGAAATTTGGGACTTGGGAAATTTGGGACTTGGGAAAATTGGGGCTAAGGAAATTTGGGACTTGAGAAATTTGGGACTTGGGAAATTTGGGACTTAGGAAAATTGGGGCTAAGGAAATTTGGGACTTGAGAAATTTGGGACTTGGGAAATTTGGGACTTAGGAAAATTGGGGCTAAGGAAATTTGGGACTTGAGAAATTTGGGACTTGGGAAATTTGGAACTTGGGAAATTTGGAACTTCGGAAATTTCGGACTTGGGAAATTTGGAACTTTGGAAATTTGGAACTTTGGAAATTTGGGACTTGGGAAATTTGGAACTTGGGAAAATTGGAACTCCGGAAATTTCGGACTTAGAAAATTTGGAATTATGGAATTTTGAAGTTTTGGAAGCTTAGAAATTTGGGATCTTGGAACCCTAAAAATTTGGGATTTTAGAAATTTGGAATAGAAGTCCCTAACACTAAAATATCACCAGAAACTTCGTAACTACAGAATTTCAGAATTTACTAAAGTAACCTCATAAAATTTCAAAATTTCAGAATTGTACTTTCTAAATATTTTCCCCTTAAAATTATGAAATTTCAGACTTTTAATATTCAGAAATTTCAGAATACTCTAACATTTATAATTTTGAAATTAACTTTTGCACCACAGTGCTGAAAGTACTTAAATCACTCATTTAATCATAAGCTCTTACATACAAAATAATAGAACGAAAATTTCCTGAGTGCTAGTGGTATGACAGGAAATAATGAAGAGTGAAAGCATATTTTGGAACCTCTTACCTTGCAGAGGCCATAGAGAAGCAGGATACTGCAAATCACACCACAGCACGAGCATATAAGCAGCGTCACGTTAAACCGTACTGTTGCTGAAGCAATAGAAGCATGTTGAACATTAAACTATATTCGTCGTAACCCCTTGCACTATTTTGACGTGTCGCTTTCGAATGCGCTTTAATTTCAAGTCCAATTACTTCCATAATCAACTATGCATTTCTATTAAAATAACAAATTGATACGAAATTGACATGACATTTCAAGTTTGTAGTTTTAATCAAGTTTTAATGATGTAGCAATTAGTTCTGACGCAGCTGGATAAATTATAGTGTAAGGAGTTAACACTTTGATGGTCGATATTCCTCATCTCTAGAAATTTATAAAAATTTCGACACTCATTACTTCCTCAAACAAATTAAAGTTTATTATATATTAAATATAGTAAACTTCCTCATTCATCATCTTTAGAATCTTAGAAAAATTTCAACACTCATTGTTATTTTTGCTTCCTCAAAATTAAAGTTTATTATATATCAAATATAGTCAAGTTTATTATATATTAAATATAGTAAACTTCCTCATTCATCATCTCTAGAAATTTAAAAAAATTTGAACATTCATTGATACTTTTGCTTCCTCAAATAAATTAAAGTTTATTACATATTAAATATAGTAAACTTCCTCATTCCTCATCTCTAGGAATTTAAAAAGATTTCAACACTCATTGCTACTTTCGCTTCCTCAAACAAATTAAAGTTTATTACATATTAAATATAGTAAACGTAGTAAATTACAGTAAACAAAAAACATATTAAATATGAATTCACGTACCATACATAATAGAGTGAATCTACAAGTGGCCAGAATCTGAGTAATCATTGCTATTCATCATTCAAAACCAAATCACCATTGTAAACCTTGATAACCGTTCATGGATCGTAAACGCTCACTTTACGATCACCGAACAAGAACAATTATCAAGTTTCGCCATAAGTTAGCTCATTTGATTATCACTTGAAATATAGAAGCTTACGAGATTAATGGAAGCGTTTGATTTTATCGATGGATTATAGGGTATTTAGAGAAATTACACGTATACGAAGTTCACGACCATCAAAGTGTTTATCATCGACAGGGAATATGATTTCAAGCAAATACGTCTTATCGATCTTATTACCATGGAAAAGGTAATGTGTCGTATACACGTGTACCGTTGGAATACTCACTGGGGGATATGGTGTCCGGTTCTAGGAAGCTAGTGGATTCCGGTAAAGAACGATTCCCTCTCAGATATTGACTCTCCCCCTGGAGCACTTTGCCGGTGGTTAGTGCCAACACGGCAAAGTAAATCTGAAATAAAATAAACACCCAGACGTGTGTCATGAATTTGGAATTCACTGAGAATATCAGCGTTCTAGTTTCGAATAATTAACTGTATCTTTAATCTACTTCGTCGCTCATTAACAATTACCGTTTCATTTATAATTTAATCCTCTTTCATTAACAACTGAATTATTGATGTCAATGCAGTGACTCTCTACTTAAAAATTACGGTTTAATTCTAAATTCGTTCTTGTTAAGTTAGAAGTTAAAAATTTATTTAATGAAGGGCATTTTTAGTTGGTGATTTAATTTGAAAAGTTCACTGTAACTCTTTTAGGGTTACAAAAATTTTTAATCGAAGTACAAGTATTATTGAATTTTAGTTTAGGGAAAAGACAGAATATTTATGTAGTTATTCGTACTATTATTGTAATTGTTTATACTAGACGTGATTCTGAATAAGATTTCCCTTTGCAGAAATGGGATTTGAAGCTTCGTTTTTGAATTATTAAGGAAAAACGCGGACCAATGAGAACGCGAGGTTTGTGCGCGCGCAGCCACTAGGCTTGCAGCTGTCGTTCTCGCGTCTGCGCATGCGCAATCCTCGCACTCTGATTGGTTCGTGTTTTTCCTTAATAATTCAAAAGCGAAGCTTCAAATCACATTTTTGCAAAGGGAAATCTTATTCAGAATCATGTCAGCTACCCCGTCAGCTAATTAAAATATATTAAAATTATTTATTTATTATTTATACTAAATGTATGTGTTACTTACTCTAACACCATTACAATATATTTCATTGACAACCTCTTTTTGATCTATTTTATAAATGAAGAAGATACTAAAAATTAAGTGTGTAGCGTACAGGAATAATTGTAAAGTGCGACAAATAAATTAATTGTATTCAAAGAGAAATCAGACAAGAAAATCCTTAGAATTCCCTTGCGAAATATAATAGAATAGATGGAAATAATATTTAGCGTCGAGAACATTCGAGAAAAGCGAATACTTCAGACTAATCGGAAATTCTGTCGCGATGCGAGAGTTCGTAGGCCGCTCAGCGGAGCGAGAGGCAAGGCGCGACCCGCGAGCCGCGAGCAGCGATCGCGGAACTTGGCGACGCGTTGTTGATAGCTCGGCCGCAGGATAGCAACCGGCCTATATAAAATAGAGTCGCGCGCCCGGAACGGGCCTATTTGGCAGTCTGGGAGAGAGGACGAGGTAAGTACCATCGGCCGCTCTCGGACTAGCCTAGGGACTCCGGCAGGAGAGACCGGCGAAAATACCTGGTCGCCTGCTGGAGAAGGAACTTAGCTGTTAGGG